CATTCCCAGCAGCTATCAGGTGAGGGCGTGCTATACCCCAAACTCACCAGGCTACACAAAGAGGTAACCAACATTTTTCACAGAGTGAACCAAACTTTACGTCTAAACATTGATTCAACATTGAATCAGCTAGAGCTGGGAATTAAACCTACTATCGTTTTTTTGCCCAGCTGCTTGAATACATTTTGTTGTTTTGGGTTATGACCTACATCCTTATGTCGTGGTATATGACTGCGGAAACAGAAAAATCCATAAAATCTAGTTTGAACCTTCGACATAGCATACCCACCTCCTAAAAATACAAAAAAATCACCAAGTACCAGCAGTATGACCGACACTAAATACAAACAGCTTTCGTATAAAATGAAATGGCCACAAAAACCTATCATATCAATTAACAGTACAACAACTCTGATGACTATTTGGGTGAAACAGCGCTGGAAGCAGCAGCAGCAGTTGTTGCAGTAGTATCACATCTACAATACTGCAATCCCTTTGAAGGCTGGTGTACAATGAGGTTATTATACCACCACCGATAGACAACATCCCCCTCCACTTCCCAAAGTCTTTCATGTCTGTTCGCAGCTCAGTTTGGACAGTCTCTCTGTGAAGTCATTGATGAAAACTTTTCCAGCTTTTCAGGAATTCATGCCTGCGTCTAGCTTAGCTTTGCGGCGGAGAAACTTAAAGCTGGGCAGCAGGAAATGTGGAATTCATACCAGATCCTTTTATGGGATTTATTTTACTTATATTTTTTGCTTCATCTTTTGGGTGTGATTTTACCTGTTGATTTGGCTGTAAAAAGACATCACATTGTAATGATATGACATATTAGTATCAGAATCATCTTGATTAAATTTGATCAATATAGTTGATGGGAATTTATTCCGCATAGGTTATAGGATTTTCAGGAATGTAAATCACATTTTTTAGGTTTTAGGTTTGGCTGATTACTCTTCGAAATGATATCTTATATAACCTATAGCCAAAAGAGGGCATCGTGTACATCTGACAACTGAACGCAGCTATTGCACCACTGGGGAAAAAAAAGTCCCACAACACAGAGTCTTTCCAGATTAAACATTCAATCCTTGTGACATAAACATTGTTTTAAAACATAATGCATTTTCTAGCCAATAATTCAGAGCAATGTATTGTCTGGGAAATACAGTTGTTTAAATAAGGCTCAACAGCGCCTCCTTTTACCAACTACTTCGAACCCCCAACATCCAACTCTGCATCACTTCACTAGTTGTATTTACTGTTTTTTGAACAACCACCAAACAGAGTATGTGCATAAACACGGAGCTCTTCAAACATCCCCCAAAAGTGCAACTTATTTTCCCTTCAAGTGTTAAGGTTAAAATAGTTAATTAACAAAACGTAATTAGAAAAAGAAGAGATGAATGAAGCCACCAACACCTTGTCAGCAGTGGCAGTGGTGCTGAAGAACAGGGACTGCAATAATTGCTGTTGTTTCATGTGGGCATACCTATCGTCGTCTGCCCCCCGCACACACACACACAAACACACACACTGCCCCCTCACCCCCCGTTTGTCGTCCTCCATCCTGTGTGTGTTTCTGTTCGGTGGCCACAGGATGAGAGCAGGTAACAATGCTGCCAGCTGCGGCCACAAGCTGTGAGCAAAAGCCATTCATTTAAGAGGAGTTTTTGTTCGGCTTGAAGAAGTGAAGTGGGAAGTTATTTCTTTGAAGACGCCTTCTTCTGAAGATTTGCCGAACAAAACAGGAGGAGAAGCTTCTGTAATTTGCTGCCGCTCGTACTCTGTTTCTGTCAGCGGTCCGGAGGGATAAGAGGATGGAAGGAAAATGGAACGATGGGTACATGTTTGAGTACATTATATGAAGTAAATGCTGGACAGTTCGGGGCTGTCAATGTTCGCGTAGTAATAATTCCAATTCCGTTCAATGCCATTCATTTTTTAAACACTAGCTAAGGCTAAACGTTACGCCCAAAACTCCCTAAAATTGCTATATTACTTTTTTTTTTTAGCTCAGTAGGTCATAGTGTAAATATATATCAATATACCAAAAGTTGGCTCATTATTTTCACAGGTGTAGGTCGAAGTTTTCTTTACTTCATATATTTGTTACAATTCTCCTCAGTTTACCATCACAGTGTAGTTAATCAAACTTCACCTGTGTGAGTATAAGTCAATCTTCATTGACTAGTAAGTACTGGAAACAGTGCTGAATAGTTATGGAGTCCACGGCTCATAAAACAACTTGAAAAATCACATTTAAAATCTGTCCACTTCATGTTGTTTATATCCTGCTGAGTCTATTATGGGCGTGTTCCACCATCGGCCTGGGGGCAAATGTTCTACTGTTGTGGTCATAACATACAGAAAGGACAAAGTATGGAGGCAAAGAGCCTGACTGAGGGAAGCGTTTTTGGAAGGACGCCCCCAGCAGGAAGTCTGACTGGCTTAGGTAAATGTGAAAGAAAAAAGGATGATAAAAAGGAGAAAATGGAGGAGAGCAGACTGGACATGAGATGACAGAAACACGGCTCTGGATTTATAAACAAACAAGACACCAAGATATGCAGGAGATACAAACAAGGAAAAGTTTTTAAACACCAGCTAGTTTTAAACACCATTTAAAACTAGCCAAGGACAAGCAGAACACCATTTAAAACTAGCCAAGGACAAACTACTACTAAAACCATTTAGCAAATAAGAAGAAAGAAAAACTACTCATGTAATTAAATACATACATTATAATAAGTTTACATGAGTTTTTTCCAAAACATTACAGCTTTCCTTATGAGTCATGCAACAAATGTCTGACAGCATTTAGCAGATTAGCATCAGCTAGTAAACAAGCTGAAAAACATGCAAATAAACGATTATAGTTGTGGGGTTTAAACTCAAACAAAAGTCAACAGCAAATGTAACTTTGGTTACCCAAAAAGATTAGAAAAATTGGCAAAAGAGAGCAAAAAAAAAAAAAAAAGGTCTGTGATAGAATGGCTAAAGATATAGACATCTTCATAGCATAAGCAAGAAACCCAGAAATAGTCATAAATGACGAAAATAATTCCAATAATGTAGACAAAATAAACAAGGTAGGCACAAATATTATTACAATATAACCAGAACCTGGACTGAGTGGACTGATATTCAATCTACAGTTACAAAACTACAGTATTTTTCCCCCTTTTCCCAGCTTTACTCCCTGGATTCTGTCTGTACAGCACTTCCAGGTGTTTACCGAAGAATATTATTCCCTGCTCTCACACCAAACATCTCCACTGATGCTGCAGAACAACATCAGCAGCTCTATTATCACTTTTAGGCCCCAAGACCCTGGCAATAACACTCCCACTGTGGGGTTCTATAGGCCAACAGGAGGCGCACTGCTTCAAACAGGGAATGATTTACCGTTTATTCCTGCAACACACAGCACTTTTCCTGCTGCACTTTATTAAAAACTGTGCACCATTTATCACCCTTCCAAAAACAATAACAAAAACCAATCATACCTCACAGTTCTCCGCTGCCACGTTTTTCTTCTTCTTCTTCTTCTCATGTTAAAGTTGAAATCCAAAGATGAAGTTTGTACTTTCCAACATTTTGCTACTGAGTTAGCAGCTAGGTGAAGGGATACACTTCTGAAATGTGGAATATACAGTAAAGTGACCCAAACTATAGATAATGTTAAGCAGTGGTTGTAAAACTTTCCAAATATAATGAATTCATTTCTAGTGGGACATTTTCTGTGGAGCTTCTTGTTAGTTTTTCTACCGACTTATTTTATAGCTTAGCCGACGCTAAATTTGAGCTTCATTGAGTTCAGGGCCCTGTTTACGTGTATTGCTGTAAGTTCCTTCAACGTGATTGGCTGGAGAGATCACATGTTTATTGCGGTCTGCGCATCTCCCTTTAAAACGAAGGCGTCAATGCCAGTTCAGAAACTCAACACATGAAAACGTTTGTGTACAACGACCAAAAACTAACGCTTAAACAAAGTACCAGAACCTGCACATCAGAACTAGACCACCTGTGGTAAAAGGGTGAAGTGTAAATTGTTTTCTGCGAGATGAAAATGATAATAACACTTACAGTTGAATTCACGTGAAACACACGTGATCACCTGATTTAATCGCATTTGTTTCTTTTGGCTCAGACGTTTAGCAGCTGCTGGAGGCGTTTCATTTAAACACCTGGACACCCGAGCGGTCTTCTTTTTTGGAAACACATAGGTTAAACTGGTTCGATGCTTAAAATCGGAAGTAGCGCCACACAATCGCATTTGTTTGTTACAACACCTGGCCGAGTGGACAACACGTGACCCAAAATTAAATTCAATGATCAGCTTTAGTTGACCCAGGTGTAGGGCCCACACCTGGGTTAATTAATGGTTAATTTAACCATATATGATTTGAAAATGACCTTTTAAACTTTATAAGTTAATTTCAGAAAAATATCAATTGTTTATTAAATCATCATTCAGTTGCATTTACGCGTTCAATTGCACCGTACGTGGATGTTTCCGTTTTATGGAGTACGTCTGCCACCTCTCGGACAAATACGAGATTACAACAGCTTCACTAACGAGCGGAACTCATGGTAAAATATTATAAAGTTCACACACAGTTACTGCTTATAGAGTCATTATTATGTAATGAACTATTTTTTGTATTTATAGATAATATATATATATAATATGGTCCGGTCTATAGAACGCGTGGAATGTATGTATAATGAATAGTTCTTGGGAATTTCGTTTTGCTCATACGAACCAATGTTTGGACGCATGTTGCCCTCTAGCGGTCAGTATGTAGAACAGCAAGGAACTGGTGGATATGTCTTTAAACCTAGAGGAATGAAATTGATCATATATTTAAAGGCACAGTGTTATTTTTTTCCAGTTCTGTGTGTCTACGTCGTTTCACTCATTTCTTTTTATTCTAACGACAAGACTTCAAACACCACACAACAACGTTTTTGATTAAAAAAAGAAGGAAAGTCAATTGAATTGAAACACTAACTGTTGTATTTTATTATGTACGCTCATTTGTTGTGTCAAAAAAACAAACAGATTTTACACATTTTTGGGCTGTCTTGAAAAATAAAGGTGTGTTTGGTTATTGTTTTACTAAGATTTAAAAACAATCTAAGACAGATGTGGAAATAGTACCCGAGTGTTTTAAAGGCTTCAGTTCTTTGTGATCAGTTCCACAGCAGTGACATATGAAAACAACAACAGATTATGTGGGTGAGAAAAGTGACATTTGACAGGAGTGGGTTGCAAACATAGCGGTGCGCTAAGCCGACAAGAAGAAAACTACTTTAATGTGACCTAGAATATAGGCCCAAATAGTACAGAGCACGAGTGCCGGTACTGTAAGTGTACTAGGTGTTAACAAGAGCTAATATGTTTCTGGAAATGCAGCAAATCCATGGCAATACCACATACAGTACTATCGGTTACCACAAATGCTAACTGGGCCACATGTTTAGACACAGGTTTTTGTACAGATACTATTATATCTAGACATATAATTTATTAAAGATTGGTTACAGTATGTGACACTCTAGAAGCCTGGTTTACATTATTTACATCCTGTAGTTTTCATTGGTCCAAGTCATAAAATACAACTGCAGCTGACTGTGTGGGAAAAGCTGCAACATTTGGTTAAACAAGCAAAAAAAACCCAACTTGATTTAATGGACAAATTAAGCCAGCCCAAATGTAGGCCGTGTTTTAGTTTGAAATGTGACATGACTGGACTGGATGGAGACTGGATGGACACTTGTCATGTCCACTTGGACTGTGCCTTGATGGGTTTCAGCCTACACGTGTACAGTATAAAATGATTTTAATTGATCATACTTAGTTCACATAAAGCAATGATTTATAGACTCATAGTGGCCCACATCTGGTATTTGGAAAGTGGGCAACACATCTCAGGGAAAGCTGTACCACCAGCGTCTATAAAGAAAAATGACACCTATAAGTAATGCTGATATCTGGCCCACATTCTAAATACCAGAAAAGTCATGTGTGGGCCACACAGTTCAGGGGCCACAACTGCCTGTAGAGAAGGCCGACCAATCATTGCTTTAGGTGTTTCAAATGACCCACATGTTGTAGGACAGGAGACCACATGGGCCAGTGACTCAGATAATATTTTCCATGAACAGAAAAGAGAAACATTTTTAATGAAGTTACAAAACATTCACGCACAACATTTAATGTTTTCAAAAACACATTAGGCAAATATTGTACAAACAACTTTTAAAAGCGACGAGATAGAAACCCATTAACCTAGACACAATGATACATCTTTCCCTGGTGTCTTTTTCTCTATTTCTCATAGCTTAGACTACGTGATTTCTGGACCGGAACCATATGGAGACAAGAATTAAGAAGAAAAATCCAAAACAAAAAAATAATCTACAGAGGAACGTGTACAGAAATACAGTAACTTTGCAGAGAAACAGCCATGCTAACGTTCTATGTCTAGCCCTGAAAAAAACAAAACCAACAAACAAACAAACAAAAAAGAAAACATTAAAAAAAGCTAAATAGGCAACAACATCTGCACAAACACAACAAGTATTGACCAAAAAAAAAAAAAGACCCAGAATTCTGTACCACACAACAACCGTACTGCATACAACATCATTGGGAATGGACCAATCTCACATGTGTGTAAAAAGACAAGGTAGTGAAATGTGATACAACCCACAAAGCAAAATTGGTCTGGTCCACTGACTGAAATATAGATTTTTACTTTGCCCACATTAGTTAAAAACTTTGGTCCATACATAGTCCAGACAGTGGGCCACACAAAGCAACAACAAAGGGACAATTAGTGGCAACATCTGGTTTTAATTTGCTAACCTGTAGGCCAGTTCATTTACCAAATGTTCCCTTTCATGACCCACATAAACATCCAGAGAATGTGGTCTATGGTCTGCAACCCAAGCTAGTTTTTTTGTTCCCTTCCATATGTGGTTGCTATCAAGAATGTGGCCTACTTTATTTATTTGGCCCACAGTGGCCCAGCACAGGGTTGGTTTCTGTTGGCTATGATGTGGAGCCCATGTGAACACAAGACATTTTCTGCCCTTTGTTTGGTACTTTATGTGGCTCAACATTTGGCAAGACACTAACATAAATTAGAGGACTTCATACAGTATCACGTGGCCCAGACCAACAATATCAACCAGAAACGGTGAAAACATTTTCTGGGCTTATGTTGAGCCACATAAAAAACTTTTTTTTAAACACAAAATTATGGCAAGTCGGGATTATTTGTTTGGCTAAAATGTGACCCACAATGTGGGCCACAAACTACAACCCAGGCATGCTTCTTGCCCTATGTTGTGCCACACAAGTCCATCCAGGAACTGCACCAGTTCCCAGAGAGCAACCAAAGGTACTAGACATTATATGTGGGACAAATAATAATAGTTTGTGTGTCCCACTACTGGGCCAGGTCAGTTTTGGTGTGTGGGTTGCTACAGTCTAACAGTGGGAATTTTTCAGTGAACGATTACATACAAGAAAGTTTAACAGACTACGAGTTTGAAGTTTTTTCCCCGTGAGACTCATTAACTTGACATAATTCGACTAAGGCATGTGCATCAGCTCTTTACATTTCCTGGTCAGAAGACATTGTAAAGTAAGACAACCCACAATTTTTTTTATTTTTTTTTATAACTTTTTTTTTGTTACATTTTCCTCTATTTCTGATGCTCGGGGCGGTGTGTGACAATGCGTTGAGGTTTCAGTGACTGCGACCTCTTTCTGGATTATTCTTAAAAACCCCCGACCCTTCCGACATTCCTAACCCAACCACTATTTCCCCGTCTCAACACCGGGACATTATGCTTTACTCTCGTTGCCGTTGGACTGCGGAGCCTCGTTGGGGACCGTCTTCACCTCAGCCGTGGCGTTCTTCACCTCTGCGTTGCCAGAGGTGTTTTCATCCTTCACAGTTTTACCACTGCGGTAGAAAAAAAAAAAAAGAAGTGTGTTAACACACGTCACCAAGCATGTTAGTGTGGAACATACACAGATCTGAAGAGTCTGAGCTCAGCTACACATGCAAAATGCTTTGAGGGAATTTGTTTCTTTTTTTTTTTTTTTTGTTAAAGTCCTGGAACAGAATACATTTCACACATAATGGGATGGAGCCCACTATCCGAGCCAGACATCAAATACAAGTGCATGGATGTCAGTGCTGCTTTTCAGGGAACAATGGATGCTGATGTAGAATGAGACAAGGCCGCTACAGTACAGGCACAAAGCGGCGACGAGTGGGAATGAAAGTGTGAGGCAGAACCGACGACACAAAAAACGACAGAGGGATTACACTCACTGTCCCGACTGGGCTGCGACACAATGGGAGCAGACACTAAAAAAAAATGTGTGTGTGATGGAATGAGACGAACTTCAGATATAGGTATTTGAAGTAGGAATGGGAGACGTGACTTTAATTCAGCGATTTTGTGATTCATTAATTGTGAATTGATCAATTAATCGCATATTTATCGCAACAATTATTTGACAATGAGAAGTTAAGTTGAGCCAGTAATTCACTCTGTGTTGACCAAAACTTCCTTTTTGGTCTGATGTCACACTGTGAATCCTATGTTTCTTCTCCATGGCTGCTTAACAAACTTTAGCTGCACTACCGCCACCTACTGGACTGGAATGAATTATTTCGTCAGTAATTAATTATTGCTATCCCAGCTCCAAGATGAAGTACATTTATAGGCTGCTGCTGCGGTAACGGTGTTCCTTTTTTAATCCTCTCTTCTACACCACAGTACAGTTTATATATAAATGTTAATTAACAAAGCTGAAAAATACAGGCCGGCAAATAAATGTCAAAAATCTTTTAATTTTGCTCTTGGGAATTTAAAACTATATATTAAGAATATAACAATATACGATATATAGTTTTTTTCAAATGTTTTGCTTATTTATTCATTAATTGTACACATTTGAATTAAACAAAAAAAGATAAATCACTTTTTCTAAAGTGTAAAGTTAAAAAGTTTAAAGAACTCTTTCTCAGCACGCTATTAAAATGATCCGAGAGCGAAAGACAAACAACTGTGAGTACTTTTTTGAGGATGAGGTCCTCTGGAAAAACTCTGGAGTGAAAAAAAACACAAGGCCTGACGAGGAATATATGAGTCAGAAATCCAATAAATCCACCAGAGGCGGCGTGTTGGGACGCAGGTGAAGATCAGCAGGAGAGCCGCGCTCCACGTCTGTCACACGCTGATGAAGAAAAATCCCCCGCATGACAAGACTGGTAATATCAGAGTGATGTTGGTCTGACAAGAGCACTTCCTCCTCAACTCAGCCCTCAACTCCCTATGCTTCATCACTGACATCTCCATCTCTCCTGGCCATGCACGTACAAGCAGAGTGCGAGTCGGAGTAGGGAGAGAGAGGAGTAATTGTCAGGGAGCCTGTGTAATTCATCTTCTGCCTCAGCTTTCTCATTATCCTCACAGGCTGTTAGGAGTAAAGAACATCTGCAAACTCCTGAGGGCGAGTCCTCACAGTAATAAAGCTTTAATAGGACGGGTGAGATAAAACAGGAATTAAAAGAGAAAACAGAGAGAGAGAGAGAGTGAGAGAGAGAGAGAGAGAGAGAGAGAGCCTGTTGTTGTCCCTGGTTTCACTTCATTAAGACGACAAAAGTCCTCCTGCGGATCATGTACTAAAACAGAAAAACATGCTGAATTATTATCGCTGCATATTTATCTTTAGCAAAAAAATGTCTTTCATTATTTTATGTGTTTTTTACAATGTATCACATTTGGATAAATCTGTTATCAAGGTGTTCTTACAGCTGTATTCAATTGTATCTATTTGTTTTAGTATTTTAGAATGAAATTTGGTTTTATTCAGTATACGGTTACAGGATATGCAAGTTTGGCTAACGGTGGTGGTGAAGTGTGAAGAAAACTGCACCAGGATGAAGGCAGAGGTCGGAGGTGGAGCATGCAATAAATATGACATCTGGGTGGAAAAATGTGATGGACATGTGGCATTTTGAAAGGAAAATTTCAACCTTTATTGTCCTGTTATTTTTTATGGTTGAAATTGGTGGCTCCGGGTATCTGGTAGCATTTGTCCATGTGAAGTTTTATGGTTGAAATTGGCGACATAAAGTCAGCTCCAGGTATCTGGTAGCATTTGTCCATGTGAATTACACAGCTGCAAAAAGGACATCAAGTCTCTTTTTTCTTTACCATACAGGTAATGAGTTATTCTAGGCTAAAAGCGACACATATATCAAATGATGATCATTCAAATCTACAGCAGCAGAACCTCGGAGCACGGATAAAGACTTATTTTTATCCTAGCTCTTTTTCATCTTCAGGTTCTCCACATCATCATTAAGATGAATATCTCTCAGTCTCAGACAGGAAATTATGTAAGGCTTTCAGCCTCTCACTGTGTTGAGACTAGTTTTTTTTAGTGACTGTTGGTCATTCTGGGTTTTTTTTACCTGTAAACTCTAAAATAGAGCTAAAGCCCAGTAACAGGTCATAGGACAATAGGTCAGTTAACAATGAACACTTTGAACGTAAAAAAGATTTTGTGAAAGGATCAAAACAAGGTTGGCATAATTAAAAATTCGGTAAAAAAAAACAACCTAAACTAAGCTAACATTTAGCCAAAGGTTATCCCATAAACTATCAAAGAAACCTGTTTTGTTAGCCATGTAGCTCCTTTGTATTTCAGGGTGAATTTCCCTTTACAATAATGACACATTTATGAGGTTTGTTAGGCGACGTGAGCAGGACACAGGTGACGAGTGGAGGGAAGGCGAACATAAAAAGTGATCATACTCAGTGTGAGCTGTTGTGGTCGAGTCTGTGCACGGGGCAGTGAGGGAATCCTGGCTCGGACCGTCTACCTGTAAATCCTGACTCTGGCTGTTGTCGGGGGCTTGGACCGGGTCAGCCCCCGCATTAGCATTAGCTGAGGGTGAGAGGACTGGCTCTGGGACGGGGGGTAGTGGGTTGGGAGAGGGGTTAACCTGTGGGGTGTCGCTCAGATCAACCAAGGGACCGACATTGGGCTGGGTGGTAGTAGTGATTGAACCGGACTGGGCCTCAGGGTTGTTTTTTGGGGAGGACGTTTTGGGAGGGGCAGCTGCTGGAGCCGCGGGGCCGGAGGCGCTGGTGCAGTCGTTAGAGGGGCTGCTGTGTGCCGTGCTAAAGCTTTCAGAGACGGAGTTAGTGGCAGCGGAGGGGAGCAGGGTTACCACTGTGGAAGTGGTATCTACAGCAGCAGGCCTGTTTGATGGGGGGGAGGGAGAGAGGGATCAAACATGGGAGTTAGAGGGAGCATCGGGGAAGGAGGACACAAGCAAGAAAACATAAGAGGAGGAGAGAAAATAAAGGTTTAAAAAAAATAACAAGAAAAGGGGGTCTAGGGAGTGTGCATGCACAGTGAGAGCTACAGTAAAAAAGTAAAAAATTTGAACACATCAAAATGTTAGCAACGTATTTCGTATTTGCACGAAGCAGGAAGAACCGAGAACGTGTTGGTCAGAATCCACTTGAACTTTTTAATTCACCCATTTTTGGGTCCCACAGTATACAGTATATCAAGTGTCCCACATACTAGTATCTGGGTCCCAAATGAAACCAAAGAGAATTTTTTTTTAACCATATGAGCTAAAAAAAACTGCAGAAAATCACCAGAAGGGGGAGGGGTTTTTACCCATATTCTGTGTATATTAATTAAAAAATGTGTGATACCATGTACTGTCAGTCATGAAATTCATTACCAGCACATGTAATGTGTTGTAGGCCATTAAGACAAAGCACTGTGTGTGGTTTTCCCATATAGAAGGTGCTGTGGCTTAGTTGGTTAAAGCGCCTGTCTAGTAAACAGGAGATCCTGGGTTCGAATCCCAGCAGTGCCTTTAAGTGCTCTGGCTTTATTAGTGAGCTGACATATTTCATTTAAAAATCCACTAAGGTATTATTCACTATATTCTTCTAGACCCTCTCATCACGTCTACTCACTCAGCTTCTGTCAGAGGCGTGGTCTCGTTGGGCTCTGTGGGACCCCCTCCTTCTTGGTTCGTGGCATTTTCTTCCTCCGTCCTCACCTCCACAATTGGCTCCTTGGACTCATCCTTCCTGTGAGCATAAAGTGAAAAGACAATGAAAAAAAAATCAGGTACAACTGATAATCTCAAAGCTGCTTAAGAAAAGCAGCATCAACTCTTACGCGGATCATACTGTTATTTATTCACCAGTGGTTTTCTACTAATAAATAACCTGACACTGACTTGCTCTTTGTCAAACTCTGACACGTTACAACAGCGCTCACACGCACCACATATTAGGTCAGACAGGCAGCTCTGAACCACCCCAACTACGTAACGAGAAAATCTATTCAAGGATGCACATGGTTGATGAGACGCACAGTTGAACAAACGTTAATTCTTCATGTTTCAACATAATGACTGTCAAACTGTCTCATCTGAAGTCCCTCCAGTTGCATCCACCTGCAGGCCCTGACTGGAGCATTTCCCCCTTGGGGGTAGTTTGTCAGTTATTGTCAAACTGTTCTGCCGTTCAGCTACAGTTTAATATGTTAGTACGCGAAGGGTGACGTGTTCAGATCTAACGAGAGACATCGACTCTGCACACCACATCGTGATTCACCCTCAATAAATCTCTTTCATGTGAGCTGTTGGGTTTAAATAATTAAATATTTGCTGTGCTGCTTCCTGTGGTGCATGGCTGATATAATGGCAGAGTAATCCAAAGACAAAGTTACAAAAATTCACATAGTATTTATTGTATTCACCAAATCAAATGTCCAGACAACGGTCAATCTACAGTAGCAAGGACCAGGTTTGGCATCTGGAATCTTCCAGAAAAATATTTTTAAAAATGCAGTAATGACCTTCAGACAGGTTTTTGTCTGCAGTTATCCTTAGTGCTTATCTTAAAAATAGCTGGTGGTTTATTAGTAAGGATGCCCAATATTAATATTTTTTCCGATTCTGATATATGCAGCCGTTTTAGGTTGAAGGACACATTTCATCGTGTGCAGTGTCTCAATGAGAATCATTTACTTTCACTTTAAAAGTATTTTTAGGTCACATCATATGGGCGAAACCCAGGCACTGAGATATCGGGATTGCATTATCTAAGAAAAGAAATTATAAGAATTCTTACAGATATTACACAATTATGCTACATAATTATATATACCAATAAAACATAATATAATATACCAATAATATCTGTTGGCCAATAGAAGATTGAAGATATGTTTTGGCAGTCTTTGGCTTGTTACCATGATTGACCTTGTGGCTGTCAACAGAACTACACACCTAACCTAACAGGAGTCGTAACATATCAAAGCAGTTTAGCATCTTTGTGAACCGTAGTACTGACGGGACTAAGTACTCACGTGAACGCTGCCTTGCCCTCCTCAATGTCCTTGCTCTTGGCTCCAGGGCCGGTCTTTCCACAGAAGTTGACAGCGATGCACATAAGGAGCCCACACTTGTTCAGGAAGTAGCAGGTGACGTCGATGCTGACCAGCAGCAGCAAAAAGACAACAATGAGAATACCCACGATGGCTCCGGTGCTGAGGCCTGAAACGCCGCCGATAGCATCTGAAGGATTAGATAAAAAAGGACAAGGACAGAGAGAGGGAGAGAGGAAACAGCAGCAACACAGGCCGGGGAGAAAGAGGAGGAGTTTCAAAGTGGTTTAACATGAAGGAGAGGGGACAGAATGAAAGTTTGAGAGAGAGAGAAGGTGAGAGAGAGGAGATAAACGATGATGAATGCAGTGGAGTTGTTAATAAAGGGCTTAGATGCTGCAGTTTTCAACTTAATTGTGTTTTTTTCAGAGGAAATTCAGGAGAAAATGTGTCAGAGCCACAGGGGGACTAATACGTCCCAACACAATAAAAATATAATTATCACTTCAAACACACATTCACCCTTGAAAGTCATCATAGTCGACACACTCTAGTTGTTCAATTTCACACAAATGAACTGAAGAAAAAAAAAGACAAGAATGGCAAATAAGTTAATCTGCATTTTCCATCGTTCTGCATCTGAAACACCTGCAGGGACTGAATCCAATTGTGTGTTGGGAAATTTGAATGTGGACTTTTAGTTTAGTCTGTATTGGTCATGTGTCAGCAGTGAACCTTATATCACCTGCTCTTGGGTAAAAGTTTTAAGGCTGGTTTCAGATCAATCAGTTTTGTCCTTTAAAAAACCCCAGAATACAACATATTCACATTATCAACCGTAGAGCAGATATTTTATGACTCACTGACTGACATTGACCAGCAGCAATTGTTTAATTAACCTAATCTACAGTGACTTTGGACACTGAACCAGAGCACCTAGAGAGAAAAGAACACAATGGAAGAATGTCAAATCCATACAGAGCGACCACCAGCCAATGGAGATTGAACTGTTGACCTGTCAGGCAAGAGTACTACCCACTGTGCTCTGAAATGTCAGAATGGAAAGGTATGAAACATGTACCATACCATACCATAAACTGTACCACTCTAGAACTAATTCTACAAACCAACCCCTGCCACTAACATTGAAAAGAATGACTTTTTGGTTTGCTTGCTAACAGCAAAACAATACAATTGAAAATGTAAATAACTGTAGATGTTTAGACACTAGTGCAGAACAATGAAGAAAATTTTCAATTTGGAATAATCGATTAATCTAATGACCAGAACGCTCAAAAGAATTAAACAACAACAACAATAATAATACTGACAACTTTGCAAACATTTTGAACACATGATGTTCTGACATTCTATTATCTCTGGTTGTATTTATGGCAAACTTTTAGTAGTTAAATGTTCCTCATTGAGGGTGACCGACATGAGAAAATAGGTTCCTGGGGTTTCATAAGCCGCTCTGTTAACAGCTGTCATTCGCTCTTTAAAACGAAATGCAGATCAAGGTTACCCTATTGCAGCGATGATCCCATGCATAAACAAATTCACCTGCAGTTTCCAGAAAGAATGGCATAAACAGGATTTATGCTCCCCATCAGTTCAGGCTGTGCAGATTTACATTTCTAGAATAGCTCTTATTTATTATTATTTTTTTATTTGTGTCCATCGTTCCGGTGTTTGATGCGATTATGTTAGAAATCCAATCTAATCTCAGCATTCAAGCATTGGATGCTTTTTGCGGTTTGGGGACTGATAAATAACCAAAAATAAATAGAATTAAATGGAGGGATTATTTTTGGTGACCTCAGTTGGGTTGAAAACGTTTTCATCACAATTGAAAGAGTTTTAAAATCTATTTTAAAAAACTGTTTGCCCAGAATGTAGAAATAAACACCCAGACCTGGAGCTGAGCTCAGTGTGACATGTGACCCTGAAAACCTTGGTTCTACCTGGGATATCACTGAAGTGGCAGTATGTTGTATCATTGTGCACAAACAAGATTAAAAAATTAACATGACTTTCAGAGATAGCTAGAGATGAGACCCCCCTAGCGGGGAGGGGTGGAACTGCATGGACTCATGGTCACGCACCAGCAGACAGTGCAATGACAGGAAGTCATCACAATACCATAGTATTGTACCATACCATACCATACCAATACCATAGTATACCTATACTTAGTAATGGTCTCCATCTTGTGGGAAGGTACAGTACTGCACTGTGACGTTCACTACAAAACCTTTTTCTTACATTTAACCAATAAAATTCACATATTTTAAACCTGAAAAATCTGTTTTTCAATTCTCTTCATTTCTACATGGTTAATATATTAGAATTATTTTCTTCTGAAGTGTCAGTATTATAAAACCCAAATCAAATGAGAAATAACCGCAACACAAGTCAGTAATCGGATGAGGGAGACTAACTGTTGGCTAAGCATTTCAATCATCTAGCACTTCTAGAAGAATCTAACTGGCTCGTAACGATACGGAAATTACCTGCTGCTGTAGAGATTTTTCATCAGCGCTCTCCCTCACTAATGTGGCAGTTTGTCTGAGCTGGACAATAAACCTCGTATTGATTTCTTTTGGAAATTGAGGCTTATGACATGGGGGCGGTTATCACCGGTTCTGTACTGTAGCTGACCAGGACGAGAGAGAACGTCTGTGTCAAACATCCTGACACATGGTGAGTTCTCTCTCTCTCTCTCTCTCTTTCTCTCTCTCTCTCTGGTTCTCAGTGACAGCCCTGAATACATGATCCACATGATTTATTGTGCCTGTTAAAATGCAAATGAAGTTATGGGCTGGAGTAAAACAAGTGTTGACTGCAGTACTTGAGTCATCTGTCTGTAGAGGTGCACACTCCGTACACTGCGGTTTCTCCTAATTACAGCCATTGAAGGAAACAGAGGACTTTGAGGACACATTTTTCAGGACAAAGACAAAAACTTCATCTGAACTTTTTAACTCAAAAGGTAATGAATAACATGGTTTCGTGTTAATAATTTAGGAATAAATGTCTGCAAGACACAGCAGAAATATGAGAGCAGGACTAAACTGGGCCGATGTAAGATTCTAAATGGTGCAGAAAACAGCAGAATAACTGGTCGCAGCTTAATTTAATTAAATCACTAATTATAGACAGAAAACCATTCACACCTACAGTCAATTTACAGCCAGAAATTAATGTAATCCTGGAGTGTGGGAGGAAACCAGATAACAAGCAACCTAAAATAAATGCAAACTCCATACAAAAGGACTTTAAATTTAATTTGGGGTTTGAACTGCTGACCTTTACCGCTGTAAGGCAGGAGCACTTAACCCTCCTTAACTACTGCAATGTTCTTGCTCTCTAGTCTTGGTCTTTTTGACAAAAATATAAATCATAATAAATCTTTTTTAGAAAATGCTTTTTGTGAATAATTCTCTGATATATTTTAAAGAAATCACAGCAGGAAAAAAAAGGGGGAAAAGGAGCTGCATACACCTGGAGTGACCATGAGCTGTGCTCTCACTGAACAATCACTGCCTTGTGACAGCAGTGAACACCAACAACACTGTTTACAGCTGGAGAGAGAGTCATTAAATCTACAGTATTTCTTTTCTAAAAACACTCAAACAGAAACACAGCGTCACATTCATTCTTGCACATGTTGTCGGAGGCGTTGATTGGCTCTAATTGGTGTCAGTCACTGGTTTAATGGCGCGCTCAGGCACAGCTTGTCATCTCGTAAAGCCTGCAAACTTTATGCCAACCCTAAATAAGTCACATAAACTGGACTAAATGACAAATTAACAGCAGGATGTAAATAAGTCTGGGATCAAACTCACGGCAGCGTTAAATCAGGTGAAGGAGGAGGAGAGCTGCAAATCCATCACTTACATCAAGTCACAAGAATTAAAATATTTTTGATTTGTTTCAGCAGGGAGCATTTAAAATAAACCTCATTAGAAATTTAACAGGGTAGGATTGTAAATATATAATAAAACATTTATGTGTGTTCTGGAGAATCTGTCAAATGTTTAGATTCAATTACTTAGATTTAGATTTTTAGCAGTGATTCTTAAGTAAACTACCAAATCCTTAAAGAGCTTTAGGTCTTAGTTGTGTAAATAAAAATTAAAAAAATAAGATTAATATAGAAATTAACAGTATTTCTTCTAAATGTACTCAAATATAGAAAAACAGTATTTCTTCTAAATGTACTCAATATATATATAAAAAAGTCCATGAAACTGGCCTCAGGGACGACTGACAAAGGAAATTAAATGTTTTACTTCAGGAACCACAGAGAAATCTAAGCAGAGTTTCTGTATGCACCGTAGCTAACTGAGGAATGTTGGATATTACATTATTCCTCTGTGCATATAAAATCGTCTGCACCAGCAAAACCCCCAGAATGCAGCGAAAACATGAAGTCTAAGCCTACTGTCAATGAAAAACCAAATGTTCCCCAGCAAAACAAACGGTAGGTTTAAGGAGAGGAGCCGGTTACAGTGTCAGACCCAGCTCGGCCACCGTGTGGCAGTGCACCGCCGTACTACACATCCCATCCTGCCCCCCCCCCCTCTTTTTTTTGAAGTGACACTGACAACTGACTCCATCTCTGACTGATTAAGATCTGTGCAAGTTCTTCGTGCGGTGCAGGGAGGGAGGGACTGGAGGGAATTTCAGGCGTTCAAATGAATATTTCAGGCAGCGGGCGTCACAAACTGATGAGAAACACTGGCAGGAAAAATATGCACCAGCAGATCATTTTCACATGGACGAGAGGAGGAGGGGAGTTAATGGTAAAGGGGGGGAAAAAGAAATATTTTTTTTTGCTTCTTTCAGTGTACTGAAATCATTACTGTTTTTTTTTTATTGTTTTCTTTGTTGGTTTAAACAACGTGAGTTTGCCATCATGTAAATGTGACAGGATGTTGTTTCTGTGTGGAAAAAGTGAACGAAACGAAACGCACCTAATTTTATTGCCCAGAAAAAGACATACCACCAAGGCAATGTAGACAGCATACAAATGTGGGGCCTTTCTGGCAATAATACAGAAATCTTTGGTCTGGACTCAACAAGAGCGATTTGAATCTTAAATCATCCGTATGTGAAACTAAAAAAATGATCAAATATGAACTCACATTTTGATTTTACTGAGGAGTTCTCATTTGTACGTCCTGT